TGTACCGAATATAGGAGCACCAAAATACATTAAAAATCTTCTGGAGGACTTCAAAGGAGAAATTGAGAGCAAGACAATCATTGCAGGGAACTTCAACACCCCACTGACATCACTGGATAGATCCTCTAGACAAAAATTAACAAGGAAACACAGACTCCAAATAAAGCACTAGATCAAATGGATTTAATAAATATCTACAGAGAATTACACCCCAAAACTACAGAATACACATTCTTTTCAAGTGTACATGGGACATTCTCAAAGATAGACTACATGATAGGACACAAACTAAGTCTCTACAAGTACAAGAAGACTGAAATCATATCAAGCATCTTCTCAGATCACAATTGCATAAAACTAGAAATCAATTACAACAAGAACATGCAAAGACATTTGAACACATGGAGGCTAAATAACATGTTATTGAACAATGAATGGGTTACTGAGGAGATCAAGGAAGAAATTAAAAACTTCCTGGAAACCAATGAAAATGAACACACAACAACACAAAATCTATGGGATGCAGCAAAAGCAGTTCTGAGAGGGAAGTTCATAGCATGAAAGGCCTATCTCAAGAAATAAGAAAGATTTCTAATTGATTATCTAACCTCACAACTTAAAGAATTAGAAAGCAAACAAAAAGAAAAACCCAGAGTAAGTAGAAGGAAGAAAATAGTAAAGATCAGAGCAGAAATAAACAACATAGAGACCAAAAAAACAATTCAAAGGATCAATGAAACAAAGAGCTGGTTTTTTGAAAAGATAAACAAGATTGATGGACCCTTAGCTGGACTCACCAAGAAACAAAGAGAGAGAACCCAAATACACAAAATCAGAAATGGAAGAGGAGAAGTAACAACTGACACCACAGAAATACAAAGGATTGTTAACAAATACTATGAACAATTACATGGCAACAAATTGGACAACCTAAGCAAAATGAACAAATTTCTAGAAACACATAGTTTCCCAAAACTGAACTGGGAAAAGATAGAAAACTTGAACAGACCAATAACAACTAAGGAAATTGAAGAGGTAATCAAGACTCTCCCAGCAAACAAAAGCCCAGGCCTGGACAGCTTCACGGAGGAGTTTTACTGAACATTCAAAGAAGAACTAACACCCTTTCTCCTCAAACTATTCCAAAAAATTCAAGAAGAAGGTAGACTCCCAAATGCGTTTTATGAAGCCAGCATAATTCTAATTCCAAAACCAGAAAAAGACACTACAAAGAAAGAAGCTATAGGCCGATAACCCTGATGAACATACATGCCAAAATCCTGAACAAAATACTGGCAAATTGAATCCAGCAATACATCAAAAAAATTATTCACCATGACAAAGTGGGATTCATCCCAGGGATTACAATATTAGCAAATCAATAAATGTGATACACCACATAAATAAAATGAAGAATAAAAACCACATGATCATATCAATAGATGCTGAAAAATCATTTGACAAACTCCAGTACTCATTTCTGATAAAAACGCTTAGCAGTGTGGGAATAGAGGAATCATATCTCAACATAATAAAGGCTATATATGAAAAACCTATAGCCAACATTATACTTAGTGGGCAAAAACTAAAAGCTTTAGAACAAGAACAAGACAGGGATGCCCACTTTCACCACTCTTATTTAGCATAGTACTGGAAGTCTTAGCCACAGCAATCAGACAGGAAGAAAAAATAAAAGGGATCCAAATTGGAAAGGAGGAAATAAAATTGTCTTTATTTGCAGATGACATGATATTATACATAGAAAACCCTAAAGACTCCATCAAAAATCTAGGTTTAATAAACAAATTCAGCAAGATAGCAGGATACAAAATTAACATCATGAAATCGATGGCATTCATATACACCAAAAATGAACTCACAGAAAAACAATCCCATATACCATTGCAGCAGGAAAAAAAAAAAAAAATTTAAGATACCTAGGAATATACTTAACCAAAGAAGCAAAGGACCTATTTGCAGAAAACTACAGGACATTGAAAAAAGAAATAGAGGAAGATATAAAAAAGTGGAAGCACATACCTTGTTCCTTGTTCATGGATTGGAAGAATTAACATCATTAAAATGTCCATACTACCCAAAGCAATCTATAAATTCAATGCAATCCCCATCAAGATACCAATGACATACTTCACAGAACTAGAACTAATACTTCAAAAGTTCATATTGAACTAAAAAAGACCCCAAATAGCCACAGCAATCTTGTAAAAGAAGGATAAAATAGGTGGGATCACAATACTGGATACCAGGTTGTACTACAAAGCTACTGTAATCAAAACAGCCTGGTACTGGCACAAGAACAGGTATATAATTCAATGGAATAGAACAGAGAACCCAGAAATGAACCCAAAACATTATGCTCAATTAATATTTGACAAAGGTGGTGAGAGCATACAGTGGAGTAAAGACAGCCTCTTTAATAAATGGTGTTGAGAAAAATGGACAACTACATGCAAAAAAATAAAACTAGACCATCAACTTACACCATACACAAGAATAAACTTAAAATGGATAAAAGACTTAAATGTGACTTGTAAATCCATAAAAATGCTGGAAGAAAATATAGGCAACAAAATTTCAGACATCATATGCAGCAGATTTTTTACTGATACATCACCTAAGGCAACAGACACAAAGAAAAAAATGAACACATGGGACTACATCAAACTCAAAAGCTTCTGCATAGCAAAATATACAATCATCAAAATAGAAAGGGAACCCACTGTATGGGAGAGCATAATCGCCAATGATACATCAGATAAGGGGTTAATTTCCAAAATATATAGAGTGCTCATACAACTCAACAAAAGGAACACAAGGAACCCAATTAAAAAATGGGCAGAGGAGCTGAATAGACACCTCTCCAAACAGGACATACAAATGGCCAAGAGACATATGAAGAAATGCTCAACATCACTAATCATCAGAGAGATGCAAATTAAAACAACAATGAGGTATCACCTCACACCTGCCAGAATGGCCGCCATCAACAAATCATCAAACAACAAGTGCCGGCGAGGGTGGAGAAAAGGGGACTCTAGTACACTGCTGATAAAAATGCAGACTGGTGCAGCCACTATGGAAAACGGTATACTGTTTCCTCAAAAAATTAAAAATTGAATTGCCATTGGAGCCAGTGATCCCACTTCTAGGACTATATCCTGAGAAGCCCGAAACACCAATCAGAAAGAATATATGTACCCCTGTGTTCATAGCAGCACTATTTACAATAGCTAAGATCTGGAAACAGCCCAGGTGTCCATCAATAGATGAGTGGATAAAAAAGCTGTGGTACATATTTACAATGAAATACTATGCAGCTGTAAGAAAGAAAGATCTCTTATTCTTTGAGACATCATGGAGGGAGCTCGAGAATATAATGCTCAGCGAAATAAGCCAATAAGAGAAAGACAAGTACCATATGATCTCACTTATTTGTGGAATATAATGAAGAAGGTGGGCTGATGAATGAAATAGACCCAGAAGCATAGAAAGGAGTATGCTTCAGACTGACAAACCTCAGAGTAGGGGGCAGGGGGGAGAGATGAGATGAACCAAAGAACTTATATGCATGTATGCATAACCAGTAGACATAGACAAAAATGCTAGGGTGAGGGGGGGGGATGGGGAGGAGGGTGTCTGGGGGGAACAAAGGAGAAACATCTGTAAGAAAAATAAATAAATAAAAATTGGGGGGGGGGGGCAGAAACAAAAATCATCTCAAAAAAAAATTATACCATTTTTTCTTTTATCAGATTGGCAAAAAAATATATTTTGTGTGTGCCACAGAATTTTAGTAATTAGTTTCTGTGTGCCACAAGATGAAAAAGGTTGAAAATTTCTGGCTCAGAGCATCAGAGACCAAAACAGCACCTGACTCTGGGCTGGTGAGGGAGCCCTGGCCACTGCTGGGAGCTGCACCCTCTGAGGCTCCCTACAATGTTCCCTAGTGGCAACAGAGATGAAGCCGGTGTTTGAAGGTGTGAAGAAAATTAGTGGACCCATGCAAGGGGGCCCCTTGGGACTCATGGTGATCGTGTTTTTTAGAGAGTGGTAGAAGACTGAGTGGTGATGTGGGGGGGGGGGGGTGTAGGGAAGGGACACACTGAGGCCTGAATGCTTCTGCAGACCGTCACATTTCAGTTGGGGGCGCCAGAGAGCACATCCCTCAGGGAGCCCAGGGCTGATGGACAGATCTATAGAAACTGCAGGTGTCTGCCAGTGGGCCACCTGGGCAACTGGAGGGGGAATGTGGCACTACCAGCCATAAGCTCACCCATTCATCACTCCTTCAGCAAATATTTACTAAATATCCACTGCATTCTAGGCCCTGTGCTAGTCCCATGGGATATAGTAATGAATAAGAACATGTTTATGCCCTCCTGGGACTTGAGTAATACTGGGCACAGGGGGCACATAGGAGGACCCCACATTCAGAGTGGGGATTGGGGAAGACTTCTGGAGAAGTAAAAGTCTAAGCTACGACCTTATGTGAGAGAAGGCGTTAGCAGAAGAAAACGGTAGAGTGTGGGGAAGTGAGGAAAGGGAGAAGAAAGATTCTCGGCAGAGCAAGAAGTGCAGGATTTGCAAGGCCTGAAAGGCCCATGTCAACTGGGCTGTCTTTCTCCTGCTCAAACTGGGGTGGTGTGGCACCTCAGGCGAGGCCATTCCTAACAGGGTAGGTTCAGCCTGTGACCTGGGCTCTGCAACCACACTAGCCCAGCTGCTCTGCCTCTAAATGGGCAACTTTGGGCAGATCACTTCAGCTCTCCAGGCTGCCATTCAGCATCTGTAAAACCAACCTGTGCCATCTCTAGGTGAGCTCTGCCAAGGTGTCTTCCAGGTCTCATAATATAATTTGAAGAGATGACACCCAACTGTAGGGTCTGGTTGGTTCCCAACTCCTTGGGCTAAATTCTGAAGATGAGTGACAGGCTTACTGACCAACCCTCTCCTCCACTGTGCTTTGAATATTGACTTACCCGCTGCTTATCTGGGTCCACAAAGCGGATCCCAAAATAGTCTTTCTCAAGTAGGTTCAGGTGGTGGCAAAGAAGGTCAAACAGGTACTGGCCTTTGGCATCTCTCTGCAAAGAAAGAATGTTCCATTGAGAAATGAGAGGGCTTCTTCAGTGGAACTGTGTGTTGATGGTCATTAAAAATCACTTATAACAGTTGCATGAGGATATGAAAGGGGCATCTGTCCATAACTATGTCCTCCATATTGTGATACATTCATATCCTCTGGAATTCGGAGACTTTTAGCACTTGAAAGGAGCCCAAGAACCCTTCCTTCCACACAAATGTTAGCGAAGTCAGGATCGAATCAGGGGAGCCCAGTTCTGGTCTCTCATGCACACAGCTTTCGTAGGAATGTCAGTGTGGAACACACTAAGTGCAACTTGCTCTGCCTCTGCAGCATTTCTGAAATCCCCTCCCTTCTTTCCGTCTCCATTACCCACCCATGCCTTCTCCCAGCCAGACCCCGGCCAGAACCTTCCAACAGGTTCTCTGCTTTTGCTCTCACTCTCTCTTCACACAGTAACCCGGTGACCACAATTTAGTCTTTCTTTTTTTGCTGAGTAATACAGGCACCTGGTAAGATATTCAAATATATTAAAGGACACACTCTGAAAAGCAAGTCTCGCTTCTGCCCTAGTCACCCTGCGCCTCAGTTCCCTCCCAGAAACAACCCCTCACCAGGTCCTTATGTATCCTTAGTGTGGTATTCCATGATAGGCAAACCTACATACATATGTACCTTTTATTTTTTTTATTTTTATTTTTTATTTATTAATTTGTTTTTGTTACAGATGTTTCTCATTTTCCCCCCAATGACACCCTCCTCCCCTTCCCCCCTCCCCCATCCCCAGCTTTGTTGTCTATGTTCATTGGTCATGCATACATGCATGTAAGTTCTGTGGTTTATTTCTTTTCCCCCCAGCCCCCCTCCTCTGAGGCTTGTCAGTCTGTACCCCACCTCTATGTCTCTGGGTTAATTTTGTTCAGCAGTTTGCTTAGTTCATTATATTCCACAAGTAAGTGAGATCATGTGATAATTGTCTTTCTCTGCTTGGCCTATTTCGCTTAGCATAATACTCTCCAGGTCCTTCCACGCCATCTCAAAGGATAAGAGATCTTTCTTTCTTACAGCTACATAGTATTCCATTGTGTACATGTACCACAGCTTTTTAATTCACTCATCTACTGATGGACACTTGGGTTGTTTCCAGATCGTAGCTATGGTAAATAGCATATGCACCTCTTTTAAACATAATTGGCAGCATACTGCACGGTATTCTGTTTCTTGGGATTTTTTTTCCCCATTTAGGGTATCTTGCAAATCCTACTATAGCAGTATGTATGGATAGGCCTCAGTTTTTACTTACCTAGCTGCAATGAACCTAAATTTATTTACCTAGCTCCATGCTGACAGAGTTTGTTTCTCGTCTTCGATTACAATGTGGCAGTGGGCATACAATGATTTTTATTCACATCACCACTCCTGCTGAACACTGTCAGGGGATCCCTATTGCTCTCAGAATAAAATCTAAACTCTGATGGTGGCTTCCAAGGCCCTACACAACCTGGCTCCTGCCTCTTCTCTGAACTCAGCCCGAACCACGCCCCTCACTACCCTCTGGCATGGCCTCTCTGGTCCGAATGCTCCAAGGCTTCCCTGCCTCTGCATCTCCGTATTCCCTCTGCCCGGCGTGCCTTTCCTCCAGCTCTTCTCATGGCCACTCCTGTCCTTGAGGTCCCAGCTCAAATGTCCTCTGCAGAGGGCTCCTCCCCTATAGAAGAGCCCTCCCAACTACTTCCTATCTCATTTTTCCTGTTTATTTCCTTCATGGCACTGACGGTAATCTGTAATTATCTTGTTGATTTGTTTCCTTATTTGTTGTCTGCTCCCTTTCTAGGCTATAATTTCCTGAGGGCAGGAGCCCTCACCCAGAACTTAGCACAGGCCTGGTGTATGGCACTAGGTCCTCAATAAGTATTTGTTGAATAAACGAATGATTGAATGAAGAGAAGGTAGAGGATTAGCTAAAAGATTTCACAAAATGTGAGGAAGTTAGGCCATTTCTAAACCTATAACCTTCTCCTTCAGAGACCTGCCTGAGTATCTGAGATGAGCTGGGAGGAGAATGACTTGCAGGAAACTGCTGGGGCACCTGGAGCTCTGCAAGGCAGCGATCCGTGAGCCTGTCCCCAGTGGGCTCCACAGCTGATAACCAGCTCTGGTGGCTGTGTCTAATTCTGCATTCAAATCGAGGTTGTTTTATAAAACCCAAAGCATCTTACCTGTGCCAAGGCCAAGGCCATGGGCGGTTACAGAAGGGCCTGGCCCTGCTCCACGCCTCTCCCCCCTCCACTGGCTCACCCCATGCTGTGCAAGGAGAACTCGGGAAGGATATCACATCTCTCAGCAAATATCTTAAGAAGCTTATTGTTGGAGGACTGGGAGGATGAGGAGGTAGACAGCTCATCGGAGGAAGTGGTGCCATGCAGGCACCCCCCTCTTCTGCTGGCCCCACACTCCCTCTCACAACACAATCCTGACACCGTGGGTCCCATTCTCCCCCCACTCCCCACCTCCCACCTTTGGTCTCCCACCAGAAAGAGCCACTTTCAGGACAGAGACGTGCTGGGAGTCACACTGGGCCTTCTGGGCAGTCGGCCACAAACCAGGCCTTTCCAAGAATTCCACCAGCAGCTGTCGTTCTGGGCAGGGCCAGCCGACTATTTCCTCACTGGTGCCCCAGTGTGCAGAAAGAGCTTCCGCTCATGTTTAAGGTTCTTCTGGGAGCAGGAGAACTATGTTTAACCACCCCAAGCAGCATGTCCTGTGCTATTATCCTTCTCAGAGCAACTGACATGGAGTATTAGAAGACAGCTGCATATTGTGAATACTTTTTCTCTACAAATTTTACTTTGCACCAAGCTGCCTACTACACTGTGACCAGCTGGGTGTTTTGTTTTGTTTTTTTATTTAAAGTATGTTTTTATTGATTTCAGAGAGAGGGAAGGAGAGGCAGAGAGAGAGAGAGAAACATTGATGATGAGGGAAACATCAATTGGCTGCCTCCTGCATGTCTCCTACGGGGAATCGAGCCTGCAAATTGGGCAGGTGCCCTGACCGCGAGTCAAACAGGGGACCTCCTGGTGCATAGGTCGATGCTCAACCCCTTAGCCACAACAGCGGGGCCGGGGTGTGTTTTAATGGCTGAAAAACTTTGCTTCCATACATACAACAACCATAATGGCAGGAGTGTGGGGTAGGCATGGGGAAAATGTGTTTCTGTGACAGAAATCACATAGGCTTTTTCTAAGAACCGTGTCTTCAATAAAAACAATTCACTCACATGGACTGGCAGCTCAAACACACTTGACGGGCTCCTACTGGTCCAACCTGAGTTTTCCCACCTCACAGGAAAAAAAGGAAGCATGACTTTCTCTTCAGGTAGTTTTGAAAAAAGACATCCCCTGTATCAATAAAAAAGGATCCTTTCCTTGTTATTTCTCAGCATCTAGTGAAACCTTTCCTCCCCACTATGAAGTCCTAATTCCCTCGGGCTCCCATTTACCAGTGGAAGATGCATGGTTCTGAGCTGAAGCAGCACCTTCCTGGGTGGTTTCTCCAAGGCTGGATGAGGGGAGGGCAGGGGCATGGAGAGAGAGGTCATAACAGAGCTCCTTGTTATGGCAGAATTCCATGAAATTTATATTCCCAGCAGAAGCAGGCAGAATCCACCCAGAGCTCTGCTCTGGCACCTTCACAGAGGGGCACACCCTGCCCCTCTACTGGACTGCTCATGTCTGCAGCTGGTGGGGTGGTCTCAGGCAGCCTTCCAGCGAGTGACATTCAGCTGAACCATCATGGTGGGCTCCCTAGGACAAGCTGTTGGCAGGGGCAAGAGTTTAGGAATTTTAAACTTTGTGGGTGCCCTTGCACTTCCAGATGCTGGCAGTATCCTAGAATTTCCTCTCTGTGGACTCCCTGTCAAAAGTCTGGGGCTTTCTGGAATATTCTGTGCCTGCTAGTCTTCTCTCTTTTGGATAGCAAAGTACAGTGAGTTTTTTAAATTTTTATCCTCACTCGAGGACATTTTTGCATTTATTTTCAGATAGAGCGGGAGGGAGGGAGAGAGGGAGATGGAGAGGGAGAGGGAGAGAGAAAGGGAGAAAGAGAGAAACATTGATGTGAGAGAGACACATCAACTGGTTGCCACCCGCACAACCCTAACCGGAACTGGGGAGGAACCACAACCGAGGTACGTGCCCTTAGTGGGAACCGAACCTGGGAGTCTCTGGTCCATGGGCCGATGCTCTAATCACTGAGCCAAACTGGCCAGGGCCAAAGTCCAGTGAGTTCTATCTTCTTTCCCCTTTGCCCGCAGCTGCCCTTGTGTGATGGCTAGTCCACGTGTTGTGTGCTGAATACTGTACCATTGATTATGCTGGGGAAACAGGCACCTGTGTTGACAGGTGATTACAGTTTAGTCACAACATCAGGGCTCCAAGCCTGAGGGTGTTGATCTTCAGGACAAGTGAGCCGAGGCAGAGCACTCACATCCAGCTAAACCTCTGAGGTTATTCCTTTCCCAAAGTCAGTGTTGGGTCAAAATAACTTATTAAGCACCAATTAGAAAATAAATTTGTATTTTATGAACCACAATAGTACCCACATACAAAAATAATAGTGTGCGTAAGTCAACGATGAAAACAATAGTGTGCCGAGGACAACGATGAAAATAATAGTGCACGTAAGTCAATGATGAAAATAGTAGTGCACCTTGGTGAGCCCTTCCCTGGGGCGGCACACAGTCGCCATATCTGGGACTCCAGCAACCTGGCTCACACTGGTAGCCCCGCCCTGCTGACTCCCTGAGGCCCCGCCCCACCCCACCCAACTTCAAGCCCACCCAAGATGTTGCCACTTGCTTAACCATAGGATTGGCCTGTCTTGGATCCTGCTTCAGGTTTTTCCTAAATTCTTTCAAACGAGCAGCATCGGGTCTCAGCGAGCCCCATACCTCTCATTAAGTAATACACTGAAACAAACACAGGGAGGCAGCCAAAATGA